TTAGACTTTAAAGACATCTTATCTTTTCTTAATGGAAATCCATTATTATTTCCTCTGAACTGTATTCATGTTTAACAAAGGAACAAATGCTACTGATATCTGTTTTTAAAATGCTCCTCACGGAGGGATTTCCATGTCAATGAGAAGACTTTGCCCTTGTGCTGATAATGAGGTGATATCTCTGCCTAACTGCAGGTTGATTTTCCCCAGACAGTCTAATATCCTGTATTTTGGCTTCCCTCTGTGTTATTTGTTGTCCCTCCGTGAAGCCGTCTCGGTTTCAGTAACATTGTGTGACCTGCAATTGCCATAAGCTGTTGGTTAAATGACTCAGATAGATCTCTTGTTTTGCGCAAAACACGTCCGCGTCGCCGTCTTCATGCAGAGCACGAGCCTTTAACGCTGCAACAAGCGACTCAGAGTACCGTTTGTTGACCTGTTTTAAGTATATGTGCCTTCTCTGTATTTATAATCATGTAATTCCTACAGTCAAGTGTGGCTGCTGTTAACTTGTAACAGTAATAACTACAAATTATCTGCTGTAGTGCTTAAATACACACAGTCTTAATATTGTCTGGGCAAACATCGGGACTGTTGTTCCTTCGCCTGGAATTGGTTTTTCCCTGATATTCATTAACCACGAAGGGACTTTTTGTTCATTCTCTCCAGGTCTTACGGATGATGGTTGGTGTCAACATTTCAGATGAACAGCTTGGCAGCATTGCTGATAGGACCATACAGGAGGCGGACACAAATGGAGATAACTCCATTTCCTTCAATGAATTCATCAAGGCAGGTTTTTGGGTCATGCGGGCGTTGGTCACCTTAGACATTCAACTCTGCTGTGCACTTTTACGACTGTATTCTTTTACTTTTTACGCTTTTTCATAAAAAAAGTCTCTCTACTAAACAAGTAACAACATAACAAATGTGCTTTGAATGAAAAGCTCTGACCGTGTACCACTACCATGAGCACATACTGTACATTTTTAGCATTGGCAGCCCTTAGTGGGTCATAAACTAGAGCCCAGGAGTGGCAAATATATAAAAAAAATAGATTCCAAGGACACATTTTACACAGTGCAGGGCTGATTTGCATGCCAACAAAGTGAAACTTGTATCCTTGTTTAGTCTTTCAGGTTAATCTAAGCTCTGGTTTGTATTATTTTTAGCACAAAGTTTCTTTATTTGAGGGGAAAACTACGAACAAGTTTAAATGTTTCAAACTGATTCAAATGTTGAAACTTGTTTGAAGTATTTTTGGTTCATACTCAGCAGAACGCATTGTTTCTGGCTGACAGTGTTGCACTCTGTTAATACCTGGCAGTGAAATTGTCATCACACATTACAGCACCGCCAACAGAGAAACAGTTATTCTTAATATCTAAAACCTGTTCTGTTGTGCTTGTTTCCTCAGGTCTTAGAGAAGGTGGACGTGGAGCAGAAAATGAGCATCCGGTTCCTGCACTAAATCGCTTCATTTTTATTTTTTTTTTTGTTATTATTTTTATTTCGAGTAGAGCTTCAACATGTCAGTTGATGTAAGAACACAACCTCATCCAGCTTCGCGCTGTCAAACTAAGCATTAGGTGGATAATGTCACAGATCTTGAGTTTCTGCCTTTGCACTGCTCTGTAAACAAAGGGAAAGTTGCGTGCCTTGGGTTGTTTTATGCAATGTCGCTGTATTATTATTTTTTCCCAGTAATGGAACATTATTTATTAGAAAACATTTTAAAGGGTCGCAGTTAAGTTACCACTGTTCCACTTTCACATGAAAAATAATTTTATAGCAAGGTACGACAAAGCTTCTTTTGCTATTGCAGTGAGTACGTTTATTCTAAATTTACTCATGCTGTTCCATGGATATTTAGCACACGCTGCGTCCGTATACATATGCAATGGTTCAAAGTGAAACGTCTAAGATGTGTGATTCCATTTCAAAACAGACGGTGTTTTTAACGCTAACGGGATCTTATGACTCCTCTTCCGTCAGGCGAGTTTGTCCCTTGAAACAAAGCAGAATCTGCTCCCCAGAGTTTTGTGTTTTTAACTCCCTAAAGTGCCATAAGTGTGGTTCCCCTTTGTAAGTTATCCGAACAGTAGACAGGAACCTAATGGCCACGTTTGTGCGTTTTTGTTTTCCCGTATGGGTTAACCTAGCTACTGCCAATAGATTGTAATTACCTGTTTCAATTGTTGGATTTCAACCAAAGCAAGCTTAATCCTTTTCTCAAAACCAGTAACCACCCAGGGCCCGTTGGAACCACTGGTGATTCATGTGTATAATCTATCTCTATCTCATTGGCTAGTGTGTCTGTCTGTCTGTCTGTCTTGTCTGTCTGTCTGTCTGTCTGCCCTTGCACATATTCTGACAGGTTACCATAGTGCTTTTGCAGAATGGTATCATTAGGATTAAGCTGCTAACATGGCCTGCTTTCAAAGAGGTTTCCCCCCCTGATGGAGTCTTAATGAAAACCCTGGCTAACAGTGTCAGGCCCTGTGGTGGAAACGGGGCTGTGACCGTTAGTTTTAGACTTGGAACAGGTTTAAACTCATGATGGACGTGTATACTTCTATTATATATGATCAGTAGCCTAGGTTTACGGCTAAGAAAAAATGTATTTGTTGATTTATGCACTGCTCAACATTTGTCTTTTCATTTCTTTCCCCACTGACTGGTTCCAGATGCTAAAGAGAATCAAATGCTTTCAAACTATATTTTCTGTACAGGCTAATGTTCATGAATTGGAGTGTCTGACCCTTTAATCTTTAACGTGAGTTTGTTAAATCATTACAAGGACACCTTCCAGCAGCTCAGTGCAGGAAATACAACTCGACCATTTTATTAATCGTTATGTGATTATCAATCGGCTATGATTCACATGGTATGTGATGTTGGTCTAGGTATTATCAAAGTGATTCATGAATTTGATTTGAATAAAATAAGTGCCATGCTGAGTTTGTGTCATGTCTGTATCTGGTTTTATTTTGGTCTTTAGACTCTATGGACATCCTTATTATGTTGAGAGGGGACTAAAGGGAAACTTATACCAACTAAAACTAATCGCATTGACCACAGCATCACTGGAAATGACTTTACTGTGATTTATGTATTTCGCTCTTAAATAAAATCACAGTAAAGTCATTCCAGTGTGCGGTGGTCAATGCTGATTTCATACTACATTGTCCTGGGGAGTGTTGTTTACAACTTAAAATTAACTATTTGCATATTCATAGATGATTTTTAAAAAATAAGGTATAAGGAGTAGATGCCTTTTTAGGGATTTTAACAAGGAAATTATATTTTTTTTGTGGAAAACACATTAGAGGCACACATTGCTGAAAGCAGGATATATTATATACGTGTCTGGAGAGGTTCTTTAACTGTTTTTACTTTATAAATGATAAAAGATTAATTTATTAGATTTTTTAGATTAGATTTATATAATTAGATGTATAAGATTGATTTATTTACGTCAATTAACAACTTGTTTGAGCACTAACTAAATTCGAGCAGTTAACTTTTTAATCATTAAGTATAGCTTAAATCAATATTTAACTATTTTAAAGGGTCTGCTCTTCAGAATGAGTCTTTTTAATGCTTAAGAACATTTTTTAGTGATGATACCAAAACACTAACCGAAGCAAACACTTAAAATAACTTAATTAATGCGGCTTTGTGGTCATACTTGAGCGGCAGTGAACGCACCACAGCGCTGATTGACAGAAGACAGAGGTACATCCGGGGCGGGCTTTAATCTTTGATTGACAGGTCTCCGGCTCAACCGCCGCACTCTTCCGTTGGCTCGTAGTAACAGAGCCAAAATGGCGTAGAGCGGAGGGTGTGCGGAGAAGGGGACGAGAGAGAGAAGGGACTACCTTCCTTCTCCTCTCTCCCCGGGGGTGTGAGGAGGGGAGAAAACCGGGCGCGGAGGGTTTTTTTTTTCGGTTTTAATTCTTCTTGAAATGTGTCCTCACCCGGCGCGGCCTCTCTACCCGGAATAAACCCGGGTAAAGACGTCCAGTTTGGGGGACCTGAACGCGTCGCCGCGGAGGGAGAGAAACCCCCCCGGGCTTTTGTTTACCGTTAAGAGCCGCAGCTCCAACCACAGTGGAAATACCTCCGCATCGTTTCGGACCAAGGTCAGTTGCTTTTCCATCTGTGGATTTATTCCTGCACTAGTTTTGGGGGAATTGGCACGGTAGTTAAAGGAGGGAGGGGGGGGGGATATACTCTTGCATTAATTATAGATGATGCTATTCTATTAGATATTCAATTCAGTATCTATAAAATCAGACTATAATCTGCATTAACTGGACGCCAGAGCACTTCCATTGACTGGCTGGTCTATTGGGAATCAATGTAACCATTTTTCTATGGTTGTTGTTTCGGTTTTAGTCATTTTTCACGAAAAATACAAATTATTCTCTAGTTTAAGATGATTTATTGTGTATATTAGCTGTTTTTTCTGTTTTATAGCCCTTTAAATGTGTTATTTTTGTGTTTTTGTCTGTTTTTTGGATGACACAAGACATTTAAAGATGTCACATTGGGCTAAAGGAAATTTTAAAAGGTTTTTTATTACAATTTCTTGACATTTTATAGACCCTAAGTTGTAGTCTTCGCTCTCAGTTGCTCTGCTTTAGAAGAGACTAAACTTACGCAACAATAAAGAAACCGTGTGTGACTTTGTATTGTAGGATTTCCCAGTCAGTGCAGTTGAAGTGAAACCAGCTGAAGCCCAGACCGGAGGGGGAACATCTCGCTTCAGACCAGCCCCAGCACCACCGACGGATCACTTCCACGGCCGCCCAGACCTGTGGAGGTAAAGAACGGGTCACGGTGAAGATGACCTCTGTCGGGCTTTTGGGACACGGGTGTCCTCCCTCCTGCCGTTGCTGGGACACTGGCCCTCTCTCCTCCACAGCATCCCCCTCCGCCCTGGCCTGTTTCTGCCGCATGATCATCAGTCAGGACATCTCCCGAGATTGCGGGCTGGTCTGACTTTCATCACGCACCCTCTGACTACGTCTACATGTAGGAACGATGGCGTTTGCGGTCGCCAAGTTGGCTGACACGCCGGGGAGTTCTCTCGGGCGTAAATGTCCGTAAATCTCCCATCGTTCGGGCTTTTTTACAGCCAGATCTATCTTCTTCTCACGCTGCATGTAAACGTAGTCACTGATGGTTCCTGAGTAACGACAACAAAAACATCCCCACACGCTCTTTAAAGTCGATCAAAGCAGTTTGATAATGAACAAACTGCTCGTGTTCCCTGGGAAGAAAGTAATGACACAAGATACTGTAGCAAAGATCAAGGCCTGTGATTAAATTAGACTCATAGGGTGTTTCTTTTCGGGTTTTTGTTGCACTACCTCATCACCATAACAAGTCCAACAGTGAGTGAAAGGGAGCGTGATCAGTGCAGATATCTCAATGGTTGTCAAGCGCCACAGCAGTCTTTATATAATGTTCCTGAATTAATTTGGTTTTTGGATTTTAAGAGGGTTAATAAGCAAGTTGTTAAGAGTCGATAGATGAAGGCCGAGCATGCACACTGATATTTACTTTCAGTTCAGACACTTTTGAGGAAAACGCTGACTCACTCTGACTGTGGTCCCCTATGCATCTGTCCTAAAGGAACGTCACAGGATAGGATTTTTACTCCATGCTCTTAGTTTTTGCATTTTGGGCTTATTGTGCTCTCCTTTGTCTGCAGGTTTATTCACAAAACTGCAGGTAGAGACAAAATTGGCAATATTCCCCTAAAATTTGGCAGCTTACAGTATTTAAAGTTAGTCTTTTATTATTAAAGTCTAGTCCAATTTTCTTCCAGTAGTATTCTCTTCATATGGTCTTAAGTCTTGTTCGCCCTTAACATACTTTTATTTTTGTCTTCCCTCCTGGATATGTTCTAATTTCACCCTCTGAACGCGCTAACGAGCTCTCGTTTTCTTCTTTCCCTCTTTAACACGAGGTCTCATTTACGCTTTACACGCCGCAGGTAGTCGCAGACGGATTCCTTTTTGCGCCATGAACGGTGAGACACAATAATCTAAATCTGACTTGCCCAGCAAAGTTTATCAACCGTCGCCGAAGGCTTTGTCTCTACTCGCTGTTTTCACGTCTCCAGTAAGCTGAGAGACACCGGTGTTGAAGTAGCAGCTTTAAATCAAGCTTACACCTGAAGGAAACCCTGGTCTCATTTCTTTTTTTGTTCCTTTTTGTTCCTTTTTGCCTGATTTATATGAAGAAAAACAAACATTTACCGGGATTTGTGCAATATTTGATCTTAACTGTCATGTTGTTGACCAAACTGTATATTGTATAAACAAGTGACAAGTTGTTTGAAAGCAACAAAATCACCAATGTCTTCCATTAAGATATGTATAGACTCATGTGCATTATAGCTTATTTAGCAGGACTGTGGTGCCAACATTATAGTAGCCATGCATGACCAGTAGTGATGCTTGCTTCATGAAGAATAGTGAAATCGATTTCTAGACTAAGCTGGAGCTCAAAACTGTGGAAACCTTTTCAAATTAAACAGCGATAGACTGACTTACTAGACCTTTTTTTAAATATACCACATTTAGATACAGCTTTGCCCTAAAATCTTAGACCAGTGCGAGTTCTCCTTTTTATTCCACGTCTTGGGTGTAGAGTAAGTTGCATGATTTAAAATACGATTAAAGTATGACACAATCAGGCTATGCAGTTAAAAAGAATCGATCCAAGTCGTTTTCTGTAGGCGTGTGCGCTGAATATAAGTGAACGCTTGAACAGAACCGCTCTACGTTCTTAGGATTATTATCTGGGGGGAAGAAAAGCTTAAGAGATGTCCTAAAATGTCATTCGTGCACTCTCGAGCATCAAAATAATTACGTGACGGCCAAAAAAAGCTCTCAGATGTGACGATGATAGAAAACCTTTAGAGAACTGTTACATGAAGAGTAGTACTTTAATCTTAGATTTGGATATAATTGCTAGGGATCCGACGTGGTGTTTTAGTCCTAGAATTAAGATCTCACCATGACACTGTATTGTACATAATACCTCATAGTTTTGGGATTCAGAGCGATATATTTTAATCCATAAAATTGTATTTGATTAGAGTTTTAGAAGCAATAACCTACAATAATGCATGAGTTTAGTGCCAGGGTGTAAGTGTTAAAAAGGAGTCTGTAATGTCATGTGGAAAGGATTTCCCTCCTCTCTTTTATGCCTATGGTAGCTATCTATTAGTCACTTTTTTGGGTGGGGGGGGGTCGTATAATGTTTGGCTTTAGAATACAGTATCACATACAAAGGTTTGGGATACTTCCTGGAGAACAAGGTATACGTGAGGACAGCTGTAGCATCATGTTATCACACAGACAAACTAAATACTTCTATTTTTCACACACTAGTTTCCCTGCTTTGTATTCTTTGCACACCAAAACAATAATCTAAAACCAATCTGTACACGAGAGTGGCTTTAAATTTCAATTCTTGTAGCATTTTTACATCCCCAGAACCCACCTCTCCCTTTTTAGAAATGTAGACTTTCAGTAACTCTGTGGCTGCAAAGGACTTACTGAACGAACTTGACACTTGTTTGAAAAGCACTTTCTCTCTACGTACTGACTTGCACCGTCATCATCACCATCCTGTCTTGAATACTGTGTTCTAAAAACCCTGTAATGCTCTTTGTGGGGATTTATAATCACAATTTATAAGAAAGTAGGCGTCTAGCAACACGAATATATGGGTTTAAAAAATTATGCATGACTTTAGCAGAGTAACGAATGATTTGTATTGCATGCAATAATCCAACTTTGTAATGTGAATGAGTGTAATTAGGCTAATGAAATGTTCATATCAGATGTTTCTGTGACAAGGTGACAACTTGGGGACGGTTGTTTGACACAACAGCAAGCATGTTGAAGTAGCTTCGATCATCAGCTGTGGTTTTTACAGACTAAACTGCACCAAAAAAAGGAATAACGGAGAGTAGTGTGAAGTGGTTTCTGCTCTCACTCTATGGCAGTACAGCCACAGTGCAGCTGAAAAACACCATTTAACCTTTGTTCCCATGAAAAAAAAACAACAACAAAAGCTTAGGTAAGATTACGATTAATGACATTACTTTGTTGATCAACTTTTCCACTGAGGAGGTGGACTGTGTAGAAACTATGCACTCCAGAGGGAGGAAATGGGCATGCTTATTACGTGTGAGCCTCTTGTCTGGTTTTGTATTAACTGAAAAAGAAAAAAAGATATCTGTATCAGAAATTCAGCAATAAAATGCAGCATGGTGCCAATTGGATGGCTGAGTGTTGGTGTTTACTGAAGAGAATGAATGACAATCATCATCATCATCATCTGTAGCTTCGCTTACACCCACGTGAGAGTGTAATGTTTGTTACGTGCCAGAGAATAAAGATTGTTAAAGGGAAAATGGCACAAATATGAAGATAGTCCTGAGATAGGACTGAATTCCTAACGCTGAAATTGAGCTTATAGGAAAAGTTCAACATATATTTGAAATTCACATATTCACATTAAGTTAATATTAAATCAGAGATGGATGATTTAATATTCAATAACTCTGACCGAGCCAAATCTAACTGCTATCTCTAAAGTTAACACAATTATTACGGACTTTTATTATCAGGCTGATTTACGATAGCGTTAATTTAACATTATCAGCCCAATAATTATCGTGCGTTCGTAGTTTCCAGGTTCTAATGCTGGCATATACATTTCAGTTAGTAAAGGTTCACAATGTAGAAATTATAACAGTAGAAATAATAAAAACAGCAAAAATGTTTCTTTTTTTTTGTCTTTTTCATCAAGTTCAAAATACTTTAAGGTAGATGTGTCTCTAAACAGATCAACTACAGTGTCTAGTTTATATACAGTCATTTTCTCTGGGTAACTTTACTCACCTTGTTTGTTAACGACAGAGCACACATGTATTTCTTGATGAACAGGGTGCAGTGACTTTACACAGTGAGGTTGCCAGGCAACCAAATAAATAGTGAGAGAAGCAACAGTAGTGGCCAGTGAGTTTATTTATGTTTTACAATAAATATATGTTTTATTAAAATGTTAGCATGTTAATCTAGCCATTAAGTAAAACGGAGGCTGACACAAACTCATTTGTTTTAGAGGAATCCATGATCCAAAGTGTCGGACAAATCACCTTTTGGTGGCGCTGGATAAAGTCACCAAAGAACGGGGACTATATCTGTCTGAGATGTTACGTTAATTCATCTAATAGTTGTAGAGATATTTCACTTTGGACTCTGAACGACACTGCTTGCATGGCTAAACATATAAACATTAACAGCATTATTTATGTCAGGTTGAAAATGGATTTAAGAGGTCAGGAGAAGTTTGACAACTGCAGAGAATCAGATAAATAATAATCAGAATATTGGCCAGAAATCTGTTTCAGCTGTTCAAATGTAATACTGATGTAGACCTTCAGTTTAAATACCACAATATGGACAATACATCTGCAGAGACTAATCAGAACTAATAAATAAAACAAAGACAGCAATGCCTGCATCACCAAAAGACATTTAATGGAAACACAAAACATGTGGGGAAAAAAACAACAGCTTACAACACAAATTAGTCTACACGAGGGATTGGAGAGCAGATTGAAGAACAAATGAGATCACATGGACCCTAATCCCAAAACCAGGCACCGTGTAGATTAGTTGTGAACTCTACTTGTCGAATTCACTGGTAAGACTCCTGTTGGCCAGTCTGCTCTTAATGCGTGACATCTGATCCAGCTGCGCTTCAAACTGCTGTCTCACCTGCAGTGAAAAGAGATTTGGTTTTTTTCCATTCCTGCCTGCGTTTTCTTTTCACAATAGTCCTTTGTCACACTTGAACTTTTGAGCGTGCAGGAAAATATCTACAAGTACAAAGTCAAAGGGAACTGGATTTACTGGAATGCTATTTTGGACTCAGTCTTTAGTACAGCTGAGGTTGATGGGTTATAGCCGGAGATGTTACTGAGGCTGAACTTTCAAACTTAATTTTTAACTCTTCATACTCCTCAGGGGGATTCAATTAAGGACATGTTATATAAAAGTTTAATAGCCACATCATAGATGAACTAAGTGCCTATCATATGTCACTAGAGTAGCGTTAGTACTCAGATTATGAGATTATTATGCGAGTATAAGAATGAAATGAAGCACTGCAGTTGTACATACAGTTATTGTTTCTCATCATCAGAATAAAAACAATATTAGATTTCATTGTCTCACCTCATTAATGCTTTCTTTTAAGGCCTTCAGATCAAATGTAAGTGTGGATGCTTTCACCATTGAGCTGCTGTTGAGGATGTAACTGCAGAGAAAGAACAGAAAACAGGAGTTTTGAAGGATCTAGTGATGTAGCCTTTAAAAAAAAAGCAATTCATACAAACAACAGACAACGTCCGTAAGGCACTTGTTTATTTTATCCTCTCCAAATGGCCGTAAACTTGTACACAAGAAGTTAATATGCTTTGTGTGCTCGCAGTGGCAGCGGGGCTTACCAACTGATGTTTGCTTTGTAGAGGAGAAATATGGAGCGAACCGTGGCCAAACGAGACGGGGCTGAGTGAATAACTCTACCCACAGAAGAGAGGCAGCCGCGACACTTTAGAGAACTGTAGATGCTGCGAGGAAACAGAAGCAGTGAAAACAACACAAACAAACAAAGCAGGTTGACTAAGAACAACACATTTCTTAATCCCAGTCAGTAACCTGAAGGTGGAAGTGGAGGATAGAGGTTTTATGTGTGTCTTATGTTTACACCCATGTTGCCATCCCACAATTTAGATCTAAACCTGACATTGCATTATGGTGTAAAGAGATGTTTACATGTTACATTATGTGCATTACTTTATTGTATGTAAGTTATATATATGTGTATTTCACCTGAGGGTTGAAGGCAACCAGGCTCTTAATATGTACATGTTCATTTACTTAAATTAAAGTCACTTTCCATATATTCAGCTTTAACCACATGATAAAGTTCTGTGAAGTTGTCTACTGTAGCTGTGTTTTTTTTTTGCCTCTACAAGCGTAAAATGTTATAATATAATAAACACTAAGGCATATTTACAGCTGTCCAAAAGCCAAAATACTTTTTGACTGACCAATTTGCCATTTCCCCTTTGTGTCTTGACTCCGCTGCATCACTGACGACCACATCATTAGTTACTCCTGAAGGGAGACAGGCAGTAAAGTGTTGATTAATATCATACTGGGATTAAGCATGTGGTTATAACCGATGAAGGGTGCCCTGCAAAACACAAATAATACAAATTCACAACACAAAATGGCTGAAGTAAGAAGAATGCAACAGGTTTCACATGCAACAATAAAGCAAGATCATGAAACTGTCTAAAAAAAAACACTCCACAGTTCACAAACACTAAATAATTTAACAAAATAAAAAGGGACAACAACTAGGTCATGTGATGCCACCATAAGACTCAACACACACACACACAC